GAAAAAGTTCTATATAATGAAAACTGCAGAACCCTTAAGAAAGAAATCAAGTCTTAGAAGATGGAAATATCTACTTTGCTCTTGATAGGCAGAATTAATATTATCAACATCACCATACTACCAAAAGCACTATAAAGATTTAATGCAATTCCAATCAAAACCCCAATGGCATCCTCATAGAAACAGAAATAGCAATCATGAAATTCATCTGGAAAAATAAGAGACCCAGAATAGCTAAAGCAATCCTTAGCAGGAAGAGTGAAACAGGTGGCATCTCTATACAAGACCTTAAACTATACTGCAGAGCAGTAGTTTAAAAAAAAAAGCATGATATTGGCACCAAAACGGGCTGGTAGACCAATGGTACAGAATAGAGTACGCAGAAACTAACCCACAAAATTACAATTTTTATATTAAACAAAGGTGCCAAAAACATCCATTGGAGAAAAGCTAGCCTCTTCAACAAATGGTGCTGGGAAAACTGGAAATCTATATGCAAAAAATTGAAATTAAACCCCTATCTCTCACCCTGCACAAAACTCAACTCAAAATGAATCAAAGACCTAGGAATAAAACCAGAGACCTTGCATCTAATAGAAGAAAAAGTAGGCCCTAAAGTTCGCTTCTCTACATTCTGTTTTCACTCCTCATCCAGGCTTGCCTCTGCTGCTAAGTTTTATTATTTTCTAAATCAATTTTGCATCATCTAAAGGAACAAATTATTTATTTCTCCAAAGATTAGTAGCTATCCGTCTCAGCAGTAACTCAATGATTTTTTTTCAAACCTTCACATCAGAAAGACTTAGATGGGAAGGAATAATTTGAGTCAAATCCAGGATGTACTAGTTGAAGTATGAAAGTTAAAACTTTATGCCATACACAGTAAATCTTTCTCATTAATTTCTTAAACCACCTTTGAATTGGGAGATATAATTGGAGCGATCATATAAAGAAATTTTAATTCCCACTTTCTGATTCTGTGTTTTTCTTTGTTCTTTCCATATTATTGCTTCTCATTAGTGGTATCAACTAGAAATTCTTAAATTATGATGGAAAGTGACCTTATTTCTAAAGCATTTAAAGTTATCACAGGTGAAATCTTTCTCAAGAGCTTTCAGTCTTTCATATACATGGATATATAATCTGAGTCAATAATGAATACTGAACATTAAATTGACCTCAATGATTGGAGCCCAAGTTTTTTTTTCCTCAATTTTGGCAAATTTCTGACATAAAACTTAGAATGTAAGAGTTGAAACAAACTATTAGAATAATGTACAGACTCTGAAAGTGTTTCCAGGTAGCAACATTTTTTTCTTTTCTAAATAAAATGGAAATTTCCAATAATTTTTACTGAAGAATAATTTGGCTTTCTGAATTTGGTAGTTTAAAAAAAAGATAAAATTGTTAGAGGAGCTGTAAGTAATTCAATAAAGGACTGAAGGCAAAACATCATGTGCTTGATAAATTTATGTAAAGTTTCTTCCCTAAGTTCATTCCAGCACCAAGATAAAATAGTCAGGGTCATAGGTTTACATTCTTCATGATTCAGGTAATTTACTTTGACTCTCTTCCTGACAACCATTGGACTAATCCTGCCCAGATATCCTATACATCTCAATACAACAGTGAATGAAACATGAAAGACAGATCAGAGCCAGTGCAGAGGCATCACAGATACAATATCTATAAGTGAATATATTAGTAGTGTGATAATATAGATGCATATTTATATATGCCCACGTTTGTGTGTGTTTATACACACACACACACACACATAGTATCACACATATATACATCTATCTACGTAGTAAAACAATTCTTTACAAAAAGGAGATCTCTGATGAATGACAATTATTTGTTTTCATTTTAGTTTTTAAAGCAGTAAACTTAAACCAGATCAACGTTCTGTTTGATCAGTTGTCAAGTTCACACATTTGTACTTTTATAGGACTATAAAAATGTTTGTTTCGAGGGAGCAAAAGTTTTTGGCAGTTTCCTAAAATGGGCAAAAGTTAAGCCTAAACTCCTCTTACTGTTTGGCAACTTAAGGTGCATTCTAAATTCATAATTTAAAATCTTTATGCTGTTTATCTCTCAGTAACAACAGAAGTGACAGGTTTCCTGTCTGAAATATAAATCATTTACCATTACTAATTCTCCTCTTTTGACTCCCAAGCATAATGCCCTCCCCAAAGCATTCATAGCAAAATGTTTGTTAAGGATATCTAGTCAGTTGTCTGTGGTAGAGGAAAAATGTTCCAAACTCTTGACCTACAATTACAATTTCTGGCAAACTTAAAAAGTACCATCTTTGACATTTATTTAGAATTTATGTCCCTGATTTCTATTGGCTCAGAGACACAACTGTTGATTGAGGACTTGTAAAACAATTTGTTTTGACCTCTGCTCTACTATTTGCCAAATTAATTTAAATTGAGCCAAAAAATTTCTATGTATTTTTATCAGTGCAATAACCAAAATTCTCAATTATCCCATTAGATTTTATTTCATCATTTCTCCCACATTGTGTCCATTAAGTTGTTTAAGATTGTATTGGCAAATTCCTCATTTTCCTGGAGTTTGTACTTGGAAGTTCACCAGGTAAACATGAAATCAATAATACTTAATTAAAAATAAGTACAGGTGCTCTATATATTTCACAATGCTTAATTAATCTCCCCCAATAAAATAGTTCAATTCTATTTTCACAATGGAAATAGTATTATGAGTCTCAAAATATCTTCTGTTGCAGTCAGTTATTAATTATGAAGCAAAACTTCATTCCTATTTCTCCCTTGGTGAGCGATCACACTACCTACTGTTTATCATGGCCTGAATTTTATGCCATGTAAATTGGTTTTATATACTATAATTGCATATAGTTCATGAAAATTCTAAAAGTTTTCCAAGATCTGCCTACACTATTTTTTAAATTATTTTAGAAACCATTTTATTCAAGTTCCTATGTCAAAATTGTCTTCTTAACATTCATGAAGTGGCTTAAGCCCAGACCATTTCTTTTGAGATATAACATGATTGCTAATGTCATTAAATAATATACAAAGACACATTGTGAACACAAGACCACAAAATAAAAGTATAAGAATGGATACAGTCCACACTTAATTCTTTTCAGGTTATCTAAAAATTTGATTTGTCATCATGTTAATTGATTATTTGGAACACTGAATCTAATTGATCTAGTCACTTTACCAAGGAAAGAAGATAGTATTAAACAAGGGCTTTGATAAGATTGCTAGGGAGCACTAAAAATAGATTAATTAGTTTGAGGCATGTTTTAATAAAAGTGGTGCTGTGTAACTTTCATAGATAAAATATATGTTCACATGTAGAACAATGTTTTGCTGACAAACTGTATTTTCAGTTCTTCAAAAAACAATAATCTTTGCATTCAGTGCATTCTAGTTTTGTGTGGATATTGTGCATTATATGTCTATGAGTTCTTCAAAGAAATATGAGAAATTATAAAACTGCCAGAAATCAAATATAGGAAAGTCATACTCAGTCATACAGATTCCTATATAATTCACCTTCTAAACATTAGAAATAATTAAAGTTAATCTAGCTGTTAACTAACCTATGTAAACACATTTTATGGACTTTTCCATGGATGCATATAGGGATGGAAAACCTAGTTAATAACATTAAGAGATTTCAGTGTAAAATCATCAGTGTCTTTTGATTTTAAAATGAGTATTATTAAAAAAATCCCATTGAAAAGCAACTAATTTTACATTTTCATTGGACATAAAACAATTAAATAGTAACACTTCCCCAAAATCTTAAACTAAAGCTTTTCTTTTTTATGAAAGCAAATGCAGATACATAAAATTGTCTTAAAGCAACTTGAGTCCTTTGTTTCCACATCTGTGGCTTCAATCAACTGTAGATCATTTACTGTGTATGTAGTCGGGCCTCTCATGGTTGCAGCTGTACTAAACATGTACAGGCTTATTTGTCATTCCATAAACAATACAGTATGCAAACTCTTTAGTTAACATTTACATTGTATTAGGTTTATGCAGAATCTATAGATGACTGAAAGTACCAGGAAGTGTGTGTGTGTATTATATGGAAATACTATACCATAAGTTTTATGTGTTCTTTCCAATGAGAAATAAAGAGTACACTTCCATTTTAAAAAATATTTATTTATTTTTTTAATTCTAGGTGGACACAACATCTTCACTTCATTTTTATGTGGTACTGAGAATCGAACCCAGTGCCTCATGCATGCTAGGCAAGCACACTACCACTTGACCACATCCCCAGCCCAGTACACTTCCATTTTTAACATCAAAATCTATAAAACAAAATTTGGCTTTAATTCATGTTTGAAAACTAAGTATAAAATATCATTTAAAATATAATACCTGTGTATTTGTGTGTATGTACATGGTCACACAAATGTATAAAGTAAGGGACACTGATTGAGTAATAAATGGAAGAAAGATACTGAATTATTACTTCTAATTTAAGAGCTAATTTCCAACAATTTGCTGTATTTTTCCTGCTCTTATTAGTTTCACCAAGTCTTTTTTTTTTTATGGCTGCAGCCCAAGTTATCCTCTTCAGCTTTAAAGTAACACACTAAACTCACCCATTTATTTGAGAAGCATTTCTTTTTGGGAACTGTCCTATGATGGGCTTCATGAGAGTAGGAATAATCAGCTTCATTAAAGTTTTTAAACTCAGAATCTATATCTACACTCTTGTATGGATAAATTAAGATTGAGATGTATATCTGGTTTATGCATGGTTGGCTGTAGCATATTGGCAGGGATTTCATACCAAGGAACCAGGAAAAAAATGAAAGCTATTCACAATATATAGAGAAAGAATCCTAGAATGCACAAAACCTCTTGGATTCTGCAATGTCTCAAGGGCATTGACTTCTGATATATGTATGAATCGATGCAATTTATAGAAAAGTTGGAGCCACTGTTGTGTTCTCTGTGCTGTGGGTCCTGCTTGTATCAGATAGGGAGCATTGAGAATCCATCTTCCTCAGCTCGTTTTCTTACTCAGTGCATCTTCTTTTATGTCCTGCCATGAAAGCAGCAGCACTCTGCCATTATCCTAGGTGGACCACTTTCTTTCTCTTAGAAGGTAGTTCCCCTGACCTTCTGTGACCACTCCCTTAGGCCTCTTGAGAACCACCTGGGACTCTTGCATCTGAATTTCTTGGTTTAATCATACACTTCATCACACCAGGCTGAAAAAGAGGGACAGGAGGAAAAGGAGGAAGTGGAAGAAGCCCTGAAGGACTCAGTCATGAGGCTCATAAGACATCCTCCATTTACTGTGAACTGCCTGATATCCACCAACCTCCCTGCCCAAGTGTTGACCTGTTGGGTGAGTATGAAGTCTCTACTCTTGATGCAGCTTGGGAGTAGTTCACTAAAAGAGAATTATACTGATATCAGTCATATTTCTGATGGGGTTCAGTGAAAATTCAGGATGGTGAACACAGGAATAACCAGAGTGGGGTGGTTGTGGAGACTGCACCAGTCCCACAGGCACCACTGATCCACGTGTGGAGCAGAGATCTGCATGGTCTCGTTCCTCCAAGCTGTAACAGGTGATCTCTCCTATAATGTCCTTGCTAATTTTTGATCCTGAACAGTAAGTCTACTTTGAGGATTGGTGAGTGTACAAATAGGTTAGTGTTCTTGATTGTATCATGGGAGATATTGTTTGTATGGTCCCTCATGAATGTGTTAGAATTATTCCTGAAGGCCTGGACTGGACCCTGACACACTCCACTCCCTTTAATAGAAATTATCCTGTTTTCTCAGTAGCACAAAAGATCTTTCCTCAAGGAAGGTCTATAGATCCCACACAGCATGTCAGTCCCTGTAAATAATCTCAAAGCTACAAAGAAACATCAGCTTCTGGAGTAAGGTCTGTGTCTTGAAGAAAGTGATCTAGAATCCAGTCTTCAAGTTTTTCTTGATCACTGGGATAATGAATAGTTTCAACTGATCACCAGATTCAGAAAATTGAGTATGATGCTATTAATTGACCAAACAAGGGATATCTGACCAGTGACTAAGGAAATGACACCTTTCCATTTCTCAGAAGATATACTCAAGTGTTCCTTGAGTGTCCTCCTCAGAGTTTCCTTTCATCACATAAAGAAAACACTCACTCTGTGAATAAATTGGTACAGGGTTGGTAACAGGACATAAGGATAAGTTTTTGTTGTGTCTGAATATATTTGCAGAAACTCAAGGCAATCTGAAGCAAAAGAGCCAGTGAACTCCAGGTAACTGTGAAAGTCATGGATAATGAATGTAATGGTGACATCTTGAGATTGCAGATCCCAAGGAAGAGCAAAACTGCAGAATGTACTTATTCCATCCATTCTGATAACCAGGAGGGGATCCTTTGTTTTCCCTGGTGTTTCTTTTCTTGGCTTCTACCTTCCATTAAGTTTTACCTTAGCAACCAAGAGACAGTCTTTTCCCTGGTGTTAAAGTCAAGTTTCCTTCATTCACAGTGAAAACTGCACTCTCCTGTGCAAGGTAGTTAGGAGGAGACACACATCATTTTCTGTGGGTTTGGCCTGAGTTTGTTGGCTTTGTTGAATTCCATAGCAAGAAATGTGACCAAACCACACCAAAGTCATATAAATCAAAATATTAAAGAACAAGGCCTGAATACCCAACATCTTTTGGAATCAATAATGCCTCAGGAACTTTGATTTGTCAGAACTGTTCAAGAAACATGGAGCAGAAGACACTGGGGTTGTACCATCTGTTCTGGCTGTCATCATGGTATGACAAGCCTGAACCACACAGGAAAAGATGAGTCTCCTTCTTCATCAGCAATGTTATCTAACCAGTGAACTGAGAGCACCTAAAGATCTCTCTCACACTCCACCCTCTTTCTTAAACTCCCATTAAAGTCACACTCTATAATCAAAGAGGTTTGATTTGTTCCTGTGCTTTGGAGGGATAACCACTCTGCCTTCTGGACTTTTTTTTTTTTTTGAAGGTTTTAATCAAGACCAGCTGAGTAGTTGTAAAGTCCGATCTTTCATATTTTAGTATTTTGCTTTCCTTACATACAGCTCTCTGCATGGAGCTGCAAGTGGAGGAGGATATGAATGAAGTGCTGATGGACTCATTGAATGAGGTGCTTTTGGCTCATTCCAGGTGTCATGACTTGTCTCACTTCCCTGGCCTCCCAAGCAAGAGTACAGCCTCCCTCCCTGAGGAACATGTGGTTTACTCTACTCTGGATGTGTCCAGTGAGTACACTGCTTCCATGAAAAAGGTGGTGGAATGGGGCTGTAGCTCGGTGGCAGAGTGCTTGGCTATGTGTGTGAGGCACTGGGTTCGATCCTTAGCACTGCATAAAAAACTAAACAGATTAAAGCATACAAATAAAACTGACCATCTACAATTATTTAAAAAAATTAAAAAGAAAAAGGTGGCTCCTGGTGGGTTCCCAGGTAGCCTCCCTATTCTTCAATTTCAACCCTCTGTATGGGTAGAGAGATCTTCCTGCAGGCAGGTCCCATAGTTACTCATTGGTATGAGTCAAACACTAGGACCAGGTCTGAAGTACAGGCATTGGGTGGGTCAGGTAGCTGCACTCTTCCTACTTTTAGCCCTCCTGGCACTCGCTGGCAAATGCAAGTTATGGAACATTGTGGGCAAGGATGAGGAGAGTGAATGTATTCAAAGAATCTCATTCAGTTCTTTAGCATGCAGATGCCTCATCATCTATCCAAAAGACTCTTTTGCAGTGGGTCCTCTTATCTCTCCTCTACTTGTCCTGTTAAAATGTCGATTCTCAGCAGTGTTTTTTGAACATTTGTGGCTATCCAAAAGGACCGCAAAATCGCTTATATGTTTAGAGATGGTACCATGTTTGCTTGGCTCTAAGCTCCAGTCCCAAATGCTCATTGCCCATGTATGACATTTTCCCTGAAGGGAAGGCTTCACCCTGTCACCTGCAAAATCCATTAATAGCCAAGGATACTGTGTCCATGGCACACCAATAACTCTTTCCTTTGTGACAGTTTGCATATTCCATCTAAATCTACTTTCAGTGTCTTTTCTAATCTGAACCAACATGAATCAAAGTGTCCGCTGAGGGAACTTACCCAAATGGGTAAGTTAGAAGGCAGCTAGACACTTTTACCAGAACCTCTCAGGGGAAAAAAAAAGTGCATGCTTGACTTTTTTCCAGAGTTAAGAAACAGGATGTGGGTCAACAATTTATCAGAACAGGACCGCCTACTCACTTGGTCTCCAAAACAAGGCCAGTTTTTATCCTAAGTGCAGGGTACCTACTTTTAAGTTCTCCTTCGGTATTCTTCTTAGGATATCCCAGTGTACCCAGAGAACATTTATATGCTTGTGTTTGCAATGTGTAAAGCAGGAGTGGCGTAATGTGGCTGGTCCAGTCTGGTTTTATTGGCAGGAAATAAATAACATAGTAAGGATGAAGGATAAGAGCCAAATGCCCCCAGGTAATTCTGATCATCCAGGGGTGCTGAGCTAACTAATGTGATGTGTTGATTGTATATCATCTTCCCTCCAGATCCAGGGAAAAATTGGTCTGCTGTATGTTTGTACCTATTGCACAGAGTTTCAAAGTGTGTTTTTAAAGGATATTGCTTGCTTTCTTCAATATTCCTGTATTAAATGCCAAAACTTATTATTTCTGAACTTACTGAAATAGAGTTCAAGTAAACTATGAATGCTCATAGGCTTCTGGCTTTAAATGAGTCAGAATTGCACTGAAGGACTCCTCATGATATCTTCAGAAACACCTCTCTCAAATCCTTATCACTTCTCAATGCTGCATCCATTCTGATGAATTCCTTTCTACCTGCATCAGGAAATTCTTTGTTCTAAGTCATGCTCAGGCTTGAGAGCTGTCACCCAGTTACCCCAGCAGTCACAGGAAGGGAGAGATGCCTAATTGTTCCTCAGTCAACATCTCAAGGACTTCCTCACAAGGAAGACTCTGGCAGTCCCCTGGGGAAGGTCCTCTGAGAGCAAATTGCTGATAGGAACAGGCTGGCACAGCACTTTGTCTCCAAGCTCAACCCAGGTGGAAGGACAGAGAGAAACACGATCATGTACACACAAGCTGCTGATTTTTACCAATTCCATTCACCCAAACAGCAATGCCATTGCCCACATAAGTTTGTTTTCCTTTTGGTACTTGTAGACTTACTCTGAATGAATCAGTCTCGGGATTTCCTGTATCCAGGTCCCATCCACCTTCTCATGTAGAGTCTAAATGCAGGGTTAAATTCAGACTTCCTTCCACATACTTCATCTTTTATAGTAGGGCTCTCAAAGCAAGGAATGCAGTTAGATATATATCTGTACTTATGTATGTTTTTATCTGTACATATGTACATGTGCCTGTGTATACATATACATTTATATGCCTAAATGTATAGATATATACACATGTACAAATGTATTTTTAATAGTATCAAAAGAAAAGTACCAAGAAAGTACATGAAGTACCAATGTTTGGTGTTTACTAGTCTGCAGGAGGTAAACTGGCAAGTGCAAGAATGTATGAACAATTGCTCAGAAAGTACCAGAATATTGGTTTGAAGGCTTCAAAGGGATATTGCCATAGAAATCTCTGTCCAAATCCTACTATCCCATCATTCATTGAGTTCTAGTTATAAATTTCCCCTTGTATCCTACCTTAGGGATTTTAATTTCCTGATTGAATTTCAGGCACCAGAATTGGCCCCCTGAAGCTGCAGGAAGATGAAGATGCTTCTTTTTTCCTCAACAGGCATATCAAGGACCTCCTCACCCAGCATGACCCTGAGGGCCATCGAGAGGAACTGGCTGAAGAGCACAAGTTGGCAGAGCACTTTGTAAGGTGCCCAGAGGCCCTGCTCACAGGAAGCTGCTCCAAGGTGCCCAGCTCATGAGAGATTCCATTAGGCAAGTGATATTGTACCTGCTCTCCTGGTATCTGCATTTTGTGTGTAGTCTTGAATGACGAGGACTGCCTCAGTGGGAGGACAGTAGATTCACCCACTAGGTAGAGGTCATACTATCCCAACTGTTCCTACCTGAACCAGGCATGTGCCTTTTAGATGGCAGGCAGCAACGACCTAGCATACTTTCAGGAAGGAGAGTGTGACAGGTGCAAGTTTGTGAAATTGAAAAGAGCGTGGCCTAAGAAAGAAAACTTTTAAGGAATTTGCAGGCTGATTTAATTGTGGGCCAAGGGAGATTTATCCTTTCTGGTTTATGTTTTCTCTTCTCAAAAATATTGCTTAAAATGCACATGGCATGATAGCTGTAGCATTGAAACAGGGAATGTTTATGAGTTTACTTTTTAAAATCACTCTCAGGGTTTGTTTTAGGGAGTTGAAGTAGTAAAATCTGAGGGTGGGATGTAGGGTACACTGGAATACTTAAGAAGTGACATGGAGAGAATTTTCCCTGGTTAAGTGATAGAAGCAGGCCTGGAGGGTCCTGTGTAGTTCCCAGTTGTATGGAGTATCATAGGACAGGGTTGTCTTTCTTCCCTGAAGAGGAATGAGTATGTTTTCTAGGAAAGTCATATGGGGAAGTAAATCACTGTGCTGGGGAAGCAGCCATGTAGCAGGAGGTAGGTACAGCTGGAGCTTCCCAAAGTTTATCAGTTTTCTCCAGTTTCTGTTCATGAGGGGGAAAAAGACTCTGCCCAGTTAAACAACTAGCATGCTGCTCAGGAGATCCATTTTATGGGGTCCACTTTGTTTCATGGATAAGAATACGTGGGCAGGCCATTTCTTTAAAGAAATGCATGAGATCTTTCTAAATTCATACCAATAATTTCTCTGTGTTTTTAATGGATGAGGAAGAACTGCCTAATGTCTAAAGGGGGTTTAATAAATTTGGTTGCAGGAAATAGCAAAGAGCATCATGATGAAGAAAAAGCATCACTTGAATCACTGGCCCCCAGGGACTCTTCACAGGAGGGTAATTATCAGACAAAAAGAGCACATAAACAGTCCAAAATAGCTGCAAGGGTAAAAACCATGTGCTGGTGTCACTGGTTTACTTTGCTAAACCACTCTGTATTGCCTGTTTTCTGTTGAGCATTTTTGTTATCTGTCTAAGGAGTCTTGGGGACTTTTTCCCTTAAAAAAGTCACTTGTTCCTTTGAAAGAACTAAAATGAGAATGACATGAGTAACTTCTTTCTGAAGTGTTATTCCAAGATCCTGGAGAGTTCCGCTGTAGCAAAAACAGCAGCTACACACACAGCAACATCATATCAAAATATTCTGTAGGTAGAAGGCACAAGTTCTGTGGGACTTTCCACATGCAGGAAGCTATATTCACTTGATAGGAGAGTGTAAAATTCAACTTTGGTTATGCATAAGGTTGACTCACTCCTGTGGTTTTCACTCTGAACTCTTTTCTGTTCCCAAAGCGGCTGTCCTGCTCTTCTCTGTAAGCACCACACTGAAGCAGAGCCAACTCAGTGTCCAAATATTATGAAAATTATCCTTCAAACACACGGTGCTGTTCCTGAAATCACACTTTGCAGGCTGTTTTGCCTTCTCTTCCCAGCTCCCTCAGCTCCACTGCCTCTTTCTCCTGGGAGGCATGGTCTTTTTAAATCACTGGCACATGGACGCTTTTCTAAGACCTATCATTTAGAATAAGAGTAAGTCCACGCGTAAGCCTTTTCTTCAGTCAACCTTTAACTTTCATACAAATTAACAATTTAAAAATTTAATAAAAAAATTTAAAACTGGCAAGAGCCCCAATTACAAACCCTAAAGTGCAATGTGGATTATAGGTGGGAAACAAACTGTTCTTAGGGCAGTTTTCTCTTCTTCACATCTGCAGAGTTATGTGCAGGACTCTGTATGTGGCACTTGTGGACTCATTGAAGGGGACACTAACTAGAAGGCTTCAGATGACACTGTAAAGGGACTTCATTGTAATAACAATGCAACCACTTTTATGCACTCATTGAGTGTATCCTGCCAGGTACCTCAGTGCTTGGTCTTCACTGGAAACTGTGAACACAGAGATGGGTAGAACATTATCTTAGCGTTTACAGAACTGTCATTCTGGTGAACAGCAAGTGAAAGAATTGATAGTGGCTAATTGGTGAATATAGCTAGTGCTGTATCAAAAAATGTTGGTAGTCAGGTTGATCCCCCTACTGGTTGTTTCCAACAGGTCCCAGCATAATGATGGGTGACTTCTCAGACCAACACCTGCTCTCCAGTTTGGCTTATAGAAATCTATACTCTCAAGGTCTGAAGATGATTCTGATGACATCAGTAGCTATTGAGTATGTTCTGGCCAGCTGGAGAAAGAAAGAGGCAAGTTAAGTAAGGCACATCAGTTCATCCTTGAGAAATTTTTCAGGATGTTTTCTCTCGACCTCAGCATTTTCTATCCACATCAAAACAAACTAATATTGGTCATTCCTCAGAGTGCAACTCTTGTTTTTACTCAAACTTCATTTCAAATGCAGAGGAAGAATTGAAGTAATTTTCAGGTTTGCAGTCCAAAGGGAGGAAGGTGGGGCTAAAAGCCTGGCTTTCTGAAGTTCAAGTGGATGACAGTCGATGATTTTTGTGTTCATAGAAGCAGAATAAACTAACTCCCCTGCTTTGCTCCTCAGTTTACCCTGTGATGTGTATAAAATGTAAAGTCTCCACGTATCTTGAGAACTTACATTGTAAGTGAGATAAGCCCAATACATGCATTTGCCGAGCTCCTACAGGTAAAGCATTGGGCTCGTTTCATTGGGGCACGCTAGGAAGGGTATCCAGTCCTTACTGAAAGGAGCTTAAAGTGTCTGCTCCACATTCAGCCATGGTTCTCAGTAGGTGAGAACATGGATAGCACACACCAGTAGCCTGACCTGGTGAAGGGAAGGTTGCCATGAAGAGCAGAGAAGTCACTGGACTTTATCTGCTGAGGACTTAGTAAGAGGGATCTGGGAAATCCCCACCAATGAGTTCCCACAGTTGAGGGTTCACAAATACTTAGCATGGCTCCCCTTCATGTTTCTATTCTCCCTTCCATTTTCCTATTGCCTGAGCCAATAGGAACATAAGTAATGGAAGTGAGGAATTCCTTCAGAGTCTGATACATTAACAGATGTTCCAGTGAGAAAAAAGAGGCCACAGTAAAAATGCAGTATAATAAAATAACATTGATCAAGTGCAGAAAACAATTTCAAACACTCATGGTTTACTTTTTAGTGGTTGAGAGTGCTCTTTGTTCTGTATTTTTAATGGATTTTGAAATAATGGCTGCATATTCAGAGAAGAACATTCTGACTATGTTACATTGGCAGTTTTGCATTGTTCCCTTGAGGAAAAGCCTTATGATCCACTTTAATATTAAGGAAATAATGAGGTGACCCACTGGGTACTCCTGGAGATAATTTTAACTTGTTGGGAAACCATTTTTACTTTGAGGATTCTCAACATATACCCTTAGGAGAAATGTGAAATATAGTACGTTTAGAGGAGGGAACAAAGAGAAGTTGGTAATATTGGCATGAGGGTACACAAGTCCTGAGACTGCCCAATGAGTGGTGGTCTACGTCTGTGGTGACCTTCTGTAGAAACCAGTGGATCAGCCAGCATGAGGCCATCGGAAGGCAGGGGCTCCCCACATTCCATGACATCTCCTAACTTCTGATTCTGTTAGACTGTTACCTAGCGCACTCGGCCCTACCTTCTCACTTCTGTCTTGGGTCTGTGCTTACAAGCTGAATTACAAGAACACAAACTGAATTTCCAAGATCTGGAAGAAAAATTCATCTTATGTCAATCTACCATGTATGCCCTAGCCAGCCAGTTCCAGAAATATCGTAAGTTGCAGGTAGGTTTATGGTCACTAAAGTGGGGTATGATTGTCTGTTTCCCCTCTGAGAAAAAGATTTTCTTCAAAATTTATTCTCCTCTTTTCTTTCATCAAAATGAAATCCATTGTTAGCACATTTCCAGAAGTAAAGATATTGGTATTTTGCCTTCAGTTAACTGGCAAGGGAATAATGAAACACAAAGTCTACACCAGCTTCTAGTTTACAGGGAAGTGTAGGGTGTGAATAGGGTTAATTCCCAGTTACTGATTTCTACTGGAGGCATGGAAATGCCTTTTCATCCTCAAGAATAGCTCAAACCTTTTTATTAGGATCCTGTCTGTACCATATCAGATCCACAGACATATAACAGCCGTGTTGGTAAAGGTCTGGGACTAATGACTCTCCATTCAGTTCAATCTTCCCCTGTGTTTGTAGTGAGTGATGTGACACTACTGATTGACTGACTGGGCATTTCTGAATTTGACATTTCAGGGAGTGGTGCAGAGGAGGAGAGGGGAAAAGAACAGGAATTACTGGCTCCCAGGTAACAATGAGTGTTAAGAGCCTGGAAGAGGGTGGGTTAAATATGAGGAGGGTCCCCGATGAGCAAACCAAGAGGGACAAAGTGTCCACACAATTCACATGCAAAGGAAACACAAGCTGCTGGTATGACTGCATTCCTCAACCAAGGAAGAAGTCCATCTTTTAAGGAGATGTTTTTTTTTTTTTTTTCTCTGTGGTTCCTGTCTGATTCCAACTAGAAGTAATCATACTAAACTTTTTTTACCTCACAGAATCTACATCTCCTGTCTTGTAAGGGTCCATTGAGTATGAGATATAAATCTGGTTTCCCTCTGGTTGATAGGACTTTTGGGCAGAAATGTCATAGCCTTGAATGGGGGGAATACACATACTCACACACATCTACAAATGCGCGTGCACACACTCACACACACACACACATACACACATACACACTTAAAATCCATTCTCTATGTATGCTGTGGGTCATGGTTGTATCACACAGGGAGAGTGGAGTCTCTGTCCTCAGCTCTTGTCTAGTCAGCAGACTGAGCCTCTCCTCCTAATCTCCTGCCATGAAGA